CCAGAGTGGATTCATCAGTTCCTTTGATGCACCATGATCCAGACAGATCTTGGATCACTGATCCTGATCCAGATCACCCCAAAGGAATGCACCCTTAATATATCGAAATTGGTCTATTGCAAAGGCTAGCATCTGTAAACTTATGTCCTTACATGAATCCGTTCTCATGGTTAGCTTTCTCCAACTTTTTTTTAATTATAGGTCCAAGTTTTAGAAAGAAAGGGTGCTGCCATGGTCGGGCAGTCGTGCCAGGCCCTCTAGTACTGGAGTACTCCCGGGAAATAGCTTCTGCCTTCTTATACACTGCAAATGAAGGGAAAAAATACAAAAATATGCAAATTACGGCAAAAAAAATCATAATGCAACTAAATCATTCACTCGCTCGGTTGTTCCTTCTTTTGTTCGTTCATTTAGTCAATCATTCCGTCCGTCAATCCATCCATCCGCCGGTAAGTCAGTCAGTCAATCAGTCAGGTATTCAGCCAGTCAGTCCGTCAATCAGTCGGTCAGTCAGTCAGTCAGTCAGTCAGTCTGTCAGTCAAGTCAATCACTTCATGGGTTTACTTTCTGCACTTAAGTTAATACTCTAATTTCCAGCCTGTGTAATATTAGTAGTGCTTGGCTACATATTGCATTCCATTAGTATATGGTGCATAGCAACTAATATTGCACTACAATTGTGCCAGTCATTCAGTCGGTCTATCTGTCGATCCGTAATTTATCTACACAGTTTGATAAAGGGTTTCTGATAGTAGCCATCAAGATACTGAAATGTTTACATTTATCGCTTTCTTGTAATGCTCGGATTGCTTTTCCACATTGATCCTCATCAAGAAGAGTTTCTCCACAAAAACAATATGCCTACAGCAAACAACACAGACTTCAATTAAAAACACCACGCATACAATAAGACATGTATGTATACAGTATGAAGCAAAACGTCTTAATGATTTGGCGTGGGGGTAGATTTAGGGGGGTGGATTGAATGGCTAGCCACACCCTCCTTGGAGGAGCAAAAACTAAAAAAACGATTGAAAAAAGTTGTGAATATTATGGAAGAAATAAAGGCAAACACTCTAGACAGGTACCCTATCATAATTTCTACTTTGTGCCATTGCTAGTACTTCCTGCGTAACAGTTTTCAATCAGGTTCCATTGATTTTGCAAGATCAAAAACTTTAAAGACATTTATGAAGCTTAACTGGAATTTCCATACGGGTGGGTGGTATGGATATGTTATGTAACTACACAATAAATCATAAAATAATGATAAGCAGATGTTAATTATAGCACTCACATAGGACTGATAAAATGCAGCCTTCAAGTCCAAGTATTTTTTCCATTTCCCAGCTTTTGCTGGCTCCACTGACTTCAAAGAATCACCTAAATAAAATTACAGCACAAGAAATTTAGAAAAACACATATCAAAACTTACAAAGTTTAACACACCAATCCATTTGCAAGCATTAGTCATATTTTTACACCAGGTGACAATTCTGTTTTGTTTTGGTTTTTAAAATACCAATCACCCACAATGAAATTTATAAGTACCATCTTAAATAACTGCACGTACCTTCAATTATCATTGCTTTTAATACATGTACATGTAATAACCTTAAAATTTGATCTGGCTATGTCAAGTTCAGTTCACAAACCTACCACAAAAAAAGTGACAAATTTAGTGAGGCTGCCATCTTTGTTAGCCATATGTGGATTGTCACCAAAGATTGCATGTACACACAATCATACATGTAACAATAGTCAGAGTGGTTTTCATTTGACTGAATGTTAAAAAGTAATTAAGTTTTCATCAATAACGCAACACAACTGGGTGAAAAATTCTGTGCTACTTTTTCATCCAATGAGAAGTAAAAGCAAAACAAGTTGTGACGCGCTCACATAGGTTTTTCCACATTTCGCATTGATAGCTACAGGTGATTTCTTCAAGTTTTGATTGGTTCACTGTATTCTCAGTGTCATTTTTGATTGCCCAGAGTAATGACTTGGTTTTGGTTTTAAGACACTCACTGAAAATCGCTCTGTAGATGCAGTTTGTCATGTACTACATGTATGTACTACTTTAACTACTGTACTTGTGGTAGCTATATTGTAATGTTCAATAATTTTATTATTGAATTACAAAACATACTTGCAGCATTAAAGAGTTTTGATGTCTCATAGGTGAGTCCAGAGATCAGTGATGCTTTATGTTTGAGCTCTACTGCTCGAGCCACAGTAACTGAAAATAGAACAAAGAGATCATCAATTCACAGTTGTAAGCTACTACTGTAATAACAATCACCTGATAAACAGCTTCTAATCATCATTACTGTTTTTAAAACCAGTCAAAACTGATCCTGCCAAGAATGGCTGATTCTTTCAAGTTAGGCACAGTAAAGAGAAGACACTTGAGGTATACCAATTGATGAATGCAAAGTTGGAGTAAAGAAAAGCATTAGGCTGATGATTGAAGATATCAATGTTGTGATTTGGATCAGCCACATGTGCCGTATTAAAAAATTACTCTGTTCTAACCTTCCTGAGCTTCAGCCACGCACTGCATCTGGTATGCCTCCAACACTCGCTGATCAGTATCAGCACCCTTTTCAGCTGATAATTCACCAAGACGGGGCATCAGACTCTCCTTCAAAACAAAATAAACAGAATGAAAATGAAATAAAGATTAAACTAATGTTTATCATTGGTGGAAATTCCATCATATAAATCATAGTATGACTAAGAATGTTGCCAAGCTTTAACAGCCATGTAACATTATCTGCAAGTTTTTAAGATTCACCAATAAGTCTCAATCATCAATGACACTGGATGTGTGTGTACATGGAGAAAGGCCAGGCAGGGCTGGCAGAGTACATTTTTCTTAGCAGGACAATACTGATCGTCGACCACTGTGCCTTTAAATGCCGCAATTTATCTTCATTGAACCCTGGGACACATTGTTTGAAAGTATTGGCTCCTGTGGGCCCTTAGACTACGAGTAGTCCCTCTTTCGCTTAGTCC